TACGGTACTTACCCCGAAAGTTTCTCTGAAACGTTCTATTGATGTTATAATGTGAATTAGATCTACAGCATTATACAGTGTGTCCACGGATGGGCTTAACTATACTTGTGAAAATATTTATTTTAAATTAAAAAAGTAATTCTTCATAATTTCTTGCTTGTTAAATAAATTCGATTCACATTGAGAAATTATGAAAAATAACTTTTTCTTTAATTTAAAATAAATATTTTTACAAGTATAATTAAGTCCATCCGTAAACACACATTGTGTAATGTAATACAGAGAGGCTGAAATTGAGGCTATAGTAAAATCTCAATCGAGACATGAAAATTTCAAATAAAACAAAATATTTATATAAATTTATTATTAAAATGTTCTTGAAATCAAGTACCAATAGCACAAAAGTAGAGGTAGGTGTAGGCGTGTTCTTTTATTCAGTGCTGTATCCAGCGCTTGCAGCAAACCGTTCGTAAATTAAGTGATGGAAAGACGATTGTATGTGTCAATCATTCTTTTTTCCAGCGGTGAGTTCACCAATGAGCCAAGGCATCTATCGGCTTTAAAAGCCGATGGATATGTGATAGACGAATGGTGAGGATAACCAATCATTTAAGTTAACCTAAAATATAAGAGTTCAAATATAAAACGACTGCAGAATAGATAAATTACATCAATCACTGATGGAACAATTATTGAATAAAAGAACACACCTTATATCACAAACACAAGTACACATGTGGGATAGAAGAAGCTACCTAGAAAGCACTGAACGATTGGACAAAATTAGCTAAATAGTATAATAAGGTACCAATATTGCAAAGGTTCACTAAAACCTTAAATGGTGAACGATGATAAAGCTAGATTGGTGAAAAATAATAAACGAATACAACAATGACTAGGTACATATTATTATATTAGATTACTAGAGGATAGCTAAGTTCGCTGATTTCTTACCTAAGACGCAGAGATATATCTTTTTTAAATCAAGCCTTTTAACTTTTTTGCATAGATATTTATAAAGTGCTATAATGTAACCTAAATATGACAATTTATTAGAAGAGCATAAATTATATTTTTATATAAAAAGATTTTACTTCTCAATACATTGAATAAAAAAGAAATTGATAACTTGTTTACCTATTATTAATTAAAGGAAATTATATAGAAATTAAAAAAATATGCCTTACTTTGTTGTTTTAAATAAAACAACCAATGTTAGTGTATTGAAATTTGTTTGAATTTTACAAATTTTATGCTTGATTTCCAAAGTAGATATATCGATGGCTCAATCAAAAACCGCCACAAGTCAAAAAACAAAGCAATTACATTTTTGGTTCAATGGATGCAAAATATCATTACGGTTTTACTTTAAATGCCACCACAAACAAAAATATCCTTAAAGATAAATCATTTAAAATGTAGCCACAAACTGTGTCTAAAACTGCCTCAATTCGAGTTATTTTCTTCAAAAACACCCAAATTTTTTACAACTTTTACACTTTTATAATCGTAATCATTTTATTTAACAGCAAAATATCGAAGCTTTTAAATAAAATATAAAGAGTATGTCAAAAACAAAATAATGATAATAGAGACTTACAAAATTTCAAAATGAAATTTCTCGAAATAATAGTATTTTAGTTGTGGCAGTATTTGATTGAGCCATCGATATGTAGATTTTATAAAAAAAACTGGTGTTTTTTAGCAAGATATTCTATTATACTCGAGAGTATCATCTATGATTTCTCTCAACTTTTCTGCTGGGTTTTCACTTGAACTGATGGTTGCATTTCCAGGCAATCTAGCCTGTTGAAGAGAATGAACTGCTTGAATTCTGATATACCTGACATATCATGTACCTATAGATTCACTTTTTATAAAACTTCAGGTGTTATATTCTTCTTTACACTTCTGTAGTATTTACTTTTGCTTCTAAAATTCCTAGAATGTCGAAGGAAACCTAAAAAATAATATTTTTAAAATGTATTTTTAGTTCGATAAAGTATAATTACCTTTTATAAGTATTTGGTGTAAAATGTTGCCGGACATTCGGTTAAATGTTTATCTTCTGGTTTACAACGATTGATCTGCAATTCTTTGTTTTTATTGTAGTTTTTTTTTATTTTGTGTCATCGGCATCGACTGCTAAAGATACTTAATGAATGAAATAATAAATTTACATCAGGCATTGTAATCTGAAACAAAGACAATGGTTTAGAAAATAGTTATCTATTTTATAGAGGACCCTTACCAAATCTATTCGAATGTATAAATAATAATTATCTATAAAATAAATTCTGGATGTCGAAGAATAAACCATTAAAAAAGACAATTGACAAGAAAAACTGACAAGTGACAATTGACATAAAACTAAACGTTCTGAATTCAGATTTGTAATGTTTACGGTAGGTTAACTAGGTAAATAACAAATAGAAGTTATGCGAGGTTTTGATTTCCCTCAACAACTTCTCATGAACGTTGCATTTACGTTGTACAGTAATGTTATTACGTTCCCTTAATGCAACATCGCCGAAAGGCTTAGCAACGTTATGTGCTAGCTGGGTAACTTTTTGATTAAATGGCTTCTTTCTGAACCACCTGGGTTTATAATTTTCAAATTTCAGATTTATTTAGCCATTATTTTATACATCATCTCGTTTATTCTTACAAGTAACTTTTCATTTTTAAGTTGGAGCACATATTGTAGATTTTATTACTTGTAAAAGAAAGGCTCCTGTGGTAAGTTCAACCTGTCCATGCTCCACTGAAAATATAATACCAATAATAATGTTTTTTTATGCCTTTATTTCCTTATTTATTTATGTAAACATTTAGTTAGTCATTCGTTAAACTAATTGAACGTCTGCATCGTTATATTCCATCAATAGTCATTGAGTTTTCTATCTGAGGAATACCAACCAGCGATTCATCCACAGCACCATTCTGAGGCGTTGGTACCTCTAGGAGCTATCACCAGCCGTAACCTAGTTCTGACATATCACCAGATGGATTCGTAATATGACAAAATACCTCTCAGCCCACAATTAAGAGGACTATCTCTTTATTTTACCCTCACTGGAAGTAGTGGCTCTCATCTCAACTTGATCACTAACATAAATTAAACTATAGCTAAATATTAAATATAAATTTACGATTTATTCTGCATCTTATAGGACTAGAAAAGGGAACATAAGAGATAAATATGTATTATTATTAACGTCATAACGAACTTTAGTAAACATTTGTAAGAGATTATTACCCCCATTGTAAAAGTCCACATCACTGGAAAAGAGGTATTGTCAGATCACAGGACGATACACTTTTATTAACCACGCCACTATTCGAATTATATAAATTTAGAGTGAGCTAGAAATTAATATTATAATTGTCACCCCTTACATTTCTGGATTTACAAGCACAGTGGCAAATAAATGAAATAATTATTTTACAATAGGCACTGCAATCTGAAACAACACATAATGATTTTATAAAATATGTTTCTATTTTATTAAGAAAACTTACCAGATCTATTCAATGTTTTATAAAAAGAAGACGTGATAATGTAGGTTATGTTAATATGGTATAAACAAATAGCTCTGGTCCGAATTAATAATGGATGTTTATAGAACTTCTTGTGATTACATTTTAGAGCAAATTACAGTGTGTTAATACAACAGGTAGGTTAAATAGGTAAGAAACGTTTCCCTCAACAACCCCTCTTAGACGTTGCATTTACGTTGTATAGTAATGTTATTACGTTGTCTTAAAACAACATCGTCGAAATGCTAGCTGGGCCCCTATTCAGTACCGTAATGAGCATCGAGATAGAATGAAGTAGAGACGACATAAACACTATTTCGCGATATGACAGATGGACGCATTTAGTAATGCCTGACTGGCCGAAAAGTGTAATCAAAATGGCAAAAGTCGTACTTTGATTTATATTTGAAGTCAATCAGTTTATAATTGAAGATTGGCGGAATAAAAATGTTTTTATATCATTTAAAAGAAGCTATTTAAAAAAAAGTGGCATTTATTCTCACCAAACCTAACTACCTACCTCTACTAGCTAGAGTGTGACACATGAAGTTAATTCAAAGGTGCAAATAGTTTTAGTATCGTCATAGCATCCTATTTATTCTATCTCAATGCCAATGAGTGACCCGTAACCCTATTAAGTATTCAAAACTTTCAATTGCGGTGGCTTCAATCTCTTAACCGTATCTTGTGTATCTTTTATATTTTTTGTCCTGGAAAAATTTTAATTAATTAAAGTAGAAAAGTTTAGAATATTATATAGGCAAGCCTCTTAAAAATTATTCCTTATTTTTTTTTTCAAGGATCATTAACTCTATGACTGGACTATATTATATTGTTGTGTCAAGATTTTATTTTTAATTTTAGTGCTCTATAAAAAATTGTTGAATTGTGAACCGAAAAGGGAAAAAAATTAAATTTATAAAACTCACTTTATGTTAAATAGGAATATTTAAAGTTGAATGAGATTAAATAATAATAATGTAGTGTCTGGTCATTTAATTGCCACACCCTCAAATTGAACTGGTTTTGTTAAGTAGATCACTTGGTAAGAATGAATAAGACATAATTATTTATAAATATCAGGGGGCGTAGCTCAGATGGTAGAGCGCTCGCTTAGCATGCGAGAGGTACCGGGATCGATGCCCGGCGCCTCCAATTTTTTTGAAAAATCATCTATTTTTATAATTTTATCTATTTTAACAACTATTTAAAACATACCTACATAAAACATAATGTCTTATAAGTATTTTTAATTTGGATTACGATCCGATTGGCACATGGCTTGATTTAGGCTCTCCACAATTTATTATAATTCGTTTCCTTTTTCCATCTGGAAATTTTCACTCACTTTAAAATATCTCATAAGTATGCAGTAATAGTAAGTATATTGTTTTACGATTGACAAAAACAGTTTTTGACAAGTAAAACACTATACAAATTAATGTAAATAAAACAATTAATTGGTAATAAAAATAACACAATATTATATATACAAACAAAATAAAAAAATATCACAAATTGTTATCTTCCTGTTGAGAGTTTTTATTTTCTACACGGCAATTAGCACTATTTAAATCCTCTATCACGTTTTTGTCAATTTCTGCCCAAGGTTGTCTCGTTCCTGTTGTGAAGAAAAAACTTACAATCACTCCTAAAAAGTAAAATCCTGATGATATGTAGAACACTATCCTCCACTGAGTAATGCTAGTCTGAAAATAACGATAATTAAATAACTCATGAATATCTAAGTTAAAAATGTTTAAAAACCCAATGCTAAAAATATAGTTTTGAAGACTTGGGGTGCGTTTAGTCAGCCTGATTTTGTTTTAATCATTAACATAGACATTAACATAAACATAAAGCAGAGTATCGTTTTAAATGGATATTTTGGGTTTCCTGTTTTTTTATATTTCAAAAAACTTGAAAATCTAAGGGAGGAAAACGAAAATTTTTTTTTATATTAAAAAAATTAGCTTAAAATGAATTTCCATTGCGTAAAATTCTAAATTACGTTATATTTAGGGTGTATACGGACGGCTAAAATTATTAATAAATAAAACATTTAATGCAAGAAATCTCTTTGAAATGAAAAAAAAAAAAATACGTAAAATAAGTCACTAATAATTTTAAAACTATTACATCAGTCTGAAAAGGCCCGAATATTTAACAATTTTAAAGATAAATAAAGTATTAAAATGCCAAAAACAAAAATTAATAATAAATGTATAAAAAGTAAAAAATGATTTATTTATTTATAATTGTCTACTATCCTAAGTCTAACGCCACTATGTATTTTTCAAGGCTTTTAAAATCCCAATTTTTTTTTAAACCATACCTATAAGCTATCAGTCTGAAATATTTTGTGTTATAAAAAAATAGAAGCCATAATTTAAAATTGTATTCCTATAAACGTGTAATTTATGCATTTTTATTCATGCCTTTATTAATTTCAGATTGATAGCTTATACCGTTTTCAAAGAAAATTGGGATTTCAAAACCCTTGCAAAATACATAACGGTGATACTCTTAAAATGGAAAAATAAAGTAGGCTTGCGTCAAAATATTAATCTACAATAGAAAAACCTGTCTTTCTATTACCTATTGTATTTTATTATTTTATATATCCTTTTCACCTTCCTACTATTATAATGGCTCCAATAAAATGTTTCTATTGTGATGATTATATCAATAAAAAAAGCACTTCGAAACCTGCAAATATTCGATTTACCGCGAATATGTGGAAGATGGGTTGAACCAGCGGACCATTGTCGTATTTGCAATAAATGCTGTTGTGCATTTAGACGTTAAGGTAAATAATTATTATCGTAATAGGAATAAAATGTTTAAGCATTAATAAAATTGTATAATTTTTATTTTGAAAATATTTTTTAAGAAAAACTGTATTAGAACTTTTTACTTAATAATAGAACTTAATAATAGTAGAACTTACTTTAACTAAATTATGCATTCTCAATTAAAAAAAAATGTTTGTTTCGGCACTCCTTGCTAGGTGCGGGAAAGTTTGCCTTTCATAGAGAATAAAAGACGGTAATTAATTTATATATTTACTTAAATAATTTTTTAAGGTGATCCAGAACTTGTTACCAATTAAAATCATAATGAAAATGATGAAAATGTTAGAGGACGCTTGAAACTACCAAGCAACCAGTTGGTATGTTGTGTGTAGGGGTTAATATCCGGCAACGTGTTACAAAGAGAGCAGCTTTACAATTATGGATACAGTGCCGAATATTTTGCCATCCAGAAAATCGATGCTGTCCAAATCACCTAGGTAATGAAGTATTTTCTGACGAGACACTTGGACTGATCAGATTGCGAGCAACACCAAGATCTTTGAGTATACTTGAAAGTGAAGCACTCGTAAATCTCCTCACTGAGCGTGTTAGTGCGTTAGAGAAATAGTCAAACATGTTCGATTCTCAAAATATGGAAGATGAAGACTACAAATGTTTGATTGGTCTCAATAGGGCACACAATTCAATACTCTTGCCGAACATAACGATGACATACAATCTAGGAAAAACCTGAGCAAGAAAAACTGTATTGCACTTTTTCTTGGTAATTTATGGGTTGATCTCAGTCAGAAAGTTTTAGAGATGATGTTCGGCATGAAACCAAAACAGCAACCTCATGTTAGTGAGATTTTTCAAGATGTTTTGATTTCATTAACCAATAATTTTTTTACCGCACCATCTTGGTTATGGGCATATAACTCGAGAGGATTACGCTCAACTACACAGTACCACAATTTCCAACAGACTTTGCCGTGTCCAAGCTGATTCTTTGGTAGTTTTGGTAGATGCTACCTATCTGCATCACCAAAAACCATCGGATCACAGATCTCAAAGAAAAACTTATTGTGTTTAAAAAAGGGACAATCCAGTTAAGTTTTCCGTTGTAATTGCACCAGATGGATTTATAATAGATGTTTCTGGTCCTCATGCATCAGATGCGGCAAATAATGATTCATCCATTTTTAATGCCATGGCTTTGAATGATAACGGATTTGTTACATTTTTTCGCGAGAATGACAACATTACTTATGACTTATGACCAAGGATACAGAGACTCGACAGGTTTATGCCAAAATATAGGTCTAAACTTTTTTATTCCACATTTCCTACCAAATGGTCAACGGCAACTGACAACACAACAGGCTAACGAATCTCGTCTGGTTACCATGCTTAGATGGGTAGTCGAAGCAGTGTTTGGTCGATTAGAATAAGTTCAGATTCTTACGGAATGTAGTTTGTAACAGTTATACATGTGAAACATTATCAAACATATTCCAAGTGTCATGTGCAATTTCAAATGCATTCTTTCCATATATAACCGAAAACGGTCCAGAAGACTATGTATTCTGCAATCATGTTCTAGAACTCATTAATAGGCCGAATAATTTACTAGAAAGAGTCATGAAAGAAAATCTATTGAGACGTCGTATCAATTGATCACTTGTGGATGGTTTCTTGGATCTTCAAGATTTTCCAGTTCTAACACAGAATGAAATTCAAGACTTGACTCATGGAACCTATCAGATTCGGTTAGCCTATTGTTACAGTTCAGCCCACCTCAACAACGGCCAATATTTAGTGAGACTGCATTTTGAACTTGCAGGAAATGGTCAGATCCAACTAATGCGAGCCTCGATACCTTCTAGATTTCAAGCTGCAGAAGAAAGTGGTTCATTCAATACAACACCACATTGTTGGGAATTAACAGTATTACTGGGTGGGCCTGTTTATGTAAATCAGGGGCAAGAGTTTTAGGTATGTGTGGTCATGTCTGTTCCGTTATATGGTTTTTATCATATGGCAGACACAATCCTGAAATAAATTACACATTAAGAGATAAGGCAGATAATGTGATTGACGTTAGACGATAGCATCTGTGCTCATTCACTATCAGATATTCTCTTATATGACAAAGGCCACAGCATGCTGAATAAACCAGTTGTCGGTCGATTTTACCAATAAGTTAAATTGTGAAAATACCTGTTCGCATTTTACCATTACCTAGGTACTGTTTAGTTTTAGAACATTTTAACCATAGATTTAGTTTATCCACAATAATTATGAAAAGGTAAAGTCGAGTCCCTGTAGCCCCGCTGTCGCGACTTTAAATTATTATTGTTCAGTCAATTATCTAGTTCTTTTGATGCCAAATCAGGTTTCCTCTCCCCTAACGTTGGCAGTTACATTGGCGAGTTCGCTATTTTCATCTAATCTAAACAATTGTTCGGCACTGCGTATTCCAGTCCAATCGCAAATGTTCTTTAGCCATGACATCTGCTTCATTCCAATTCCTCTGCGGCCCACGATTATCAGTGCTCAAAAATGCTGAAAAATGGAAAAATAACTTCCGTTAGGACATAATTTAGTTATTTCAGCAAAATATGGATTGAACATTGTTTAGAATACTTACATATTGTATATTCATTTCTGATGGGAGTATGTGTTTTGGAATACAGAAAGTATTCTCAACTTGTACTAAGTGCGGTCCTGAGCCTACTACGTGCTTGTAATTTAGAAAATGATATTTTAAGTGGTGGGCAGCATTTTGGAGTTTGCTAACAATAATATAGTCGACTGTAAGTCACAAGCCACTAACTTAATAAATTTCTACTTCTATTTTTCATCTGCCAATTGAATCAATTCCAAAAAATCTAAAATAATTTTATATTAAAAAATAACTATAGTTTCTTTTACTTATTTAATATCATCGTCTATGTTTAATTTCCTAAAAAAGATAAAGATCAAAGGAGTCACTAGTAGTTATTATGTTAATGATTTTAGATTTCACTGTATAAATTATAATAACTTGCAAGCTTGCTAACAAATGACAAATTAAAAATAAGCATTATTCATTACTCACCTCGACAATGTAGAACTAAATGAAGAAATAAATTGCTGATACCTGATACGTTTTTTATTAACTGTATCTTGTATCTCAATACTGGCTGGACCTACTGAAGCTTTTATTTAACGTTAAAATAAACACTAGATTTAGGACGAATTGTGTTTTATGTTTTGGTTAATAAGTTTATATTTCACTGTGGCTTACATGTACAAATTGTGAAACATATATTAACTAATACATTATCACTTGATAAACATGTGCCACCAGTCAAATATCAGCCCACATGACAGCCGGCCGCCATGTTGCCGAATCCTCCTTGTCAGTGCTTGTAATTATGTCGAAAAAGATATTTCAAAATTAAAAAAAAGTATGTTCCGGGACGTTTTAAAGAAAAAAATTTTGGGAAATACATTTTATTTTTAATATCGTTTAGTGAGAAAAATTTCGTGCGGGGTCGCGAAAAACCTAAAAAACGATACCCTCCTCTAAGGATTTTAAAACAAAACCGTTTATACAGAAAAGTTCATTGAAAACATAAAATTTGACAAATCATTAAAAATAGAAAAACAGACATGTGGTAGTTGCTTCTAAAATTGCTCTGCTATTTCACAATTATTATTAATAAAAAGAGTTTATAAGTTTAAAGTTAGAAAATAACGGGTTACATACAATATTTTTTTTAATTTTGACTGGATTATTTAAAAAAATGTGTTTTGGTAAAACATTACTAACATCTGGGCAACCAATATTACTTTATTGGATTGTTAGTTGCATATGTCTAATTTTATTGACAAATAGAACATTATATTAATCATTTATTCTCAACGAC